CTCAGATCATGATCCTGGGGGCGTGACATCAAGCCCTGTGTGGGGCTCTGCGTAGAGCATGGAGTCTACTTAAGATTCTCTCTCCCTCTCCTTCTGCCCGTCCTGTGCTCCCTCTCTCTCTCTCTCTTTCTCTCTCAAAATAAATAAATAAACTTAAAAAAAAAAGAGCAGAAGTTTTATTTTTTCTTTTTAAATGTGTAATGGCTTCATTGTGTTATACTTCACCCACCATACATTTCCCCTGCCTAAGTGAAAACCTCAAAGACTCTTACTGTGTTCACAGATATGTGCAAACACCATCACAGTTGGTTTTAGAACATTTAGAATATTTTCATTACCGCCCCCCCCATAAAACTCATGAACGATTTTTATAACGAGGACTCCGATTTATCAAGTTTTTCTTTGGTGGATCACACTTTTGCTCTGGGATCTAAGATCGCCTCGTCTAACTCGAGGCCACAACATTTTTTTTTTCTCATTTCCCCCCCCAGAAGTCTCCTAGTTTTAGGTTTTACATTTAGGTCGCTGATCCATTTTGAGTTGATTTTTGTAGATGGTGGGTGGCATGAATCGGAGCCTCTTTTTTGCATATGGATGTCCAAATGTTGCATTTGTTGAAAAGTTCCCTCCGCTGAATTGCTTTGGTACCTTTGGTGAAGAGTCATCTGTTGGTGTGTGTGCAAATCGATTTCCGTCCCCGTGATCTCTCCATCTGTCTTCGCACTGCTACCATGTTGTCCAGACTGAGGCAGCCCACATCGTGTCCCCAGCTGGGAGATGCCGATCCCCAGCTGGGCGATGCTGGTCCCCCCCGAACTCCATCTTCTTTTTCAAAGTCGTTTAGGTTGTTGTAGGGTCCTTATCTATTTTCATGTGAATTTTAGAATCAGCTCTCAGTCTCTACCAAGGGGAGCCTGCCAGGGATTGCACCAGCCCTACTATAATCGGAAGGGAATGGACATCTTACCGATATTGAGTCTTCCAAGCCATGAGTAGAGTGTGACTCTCTGCTTACTTAGATCTTCTTTAATCTCTCAGCAACAACTCTAGTTTTTAGTACAATTCTTGGACACCTTTCGTCAGATTTACCCTTAACCGTTTCATATTTTCGGTGCTATCATAAATTATATTAAAAAATTTTAAATGTCTGAGTGTCGCTATTATAATTACAGCTGATTTTTTAATTAAAAAATTTTAAATTTTTATTTCTATTTGAGAAAGAGAGACAGAGCATGAGCAGGGGAGGAGCAGAGAGAGAGGGAGACACAGAATCCAAAGCAACTTCAGGGTCTGAGCCGTCAGCACAGAGCCCGACGCGGGGCTCGAACTCACAGACCGCGAGATCATGACCTGAGCAGAAGTCAGACACTTAGTCAACTGAGCCACCCAGGGGCCCCTACGGTTGATTTTTATACACTGCTGGTTACCTTGCAAATTTTGTAAACTCACTTCTAAGTTCCAGAAAATTTTTTTGTAGATTCCATTAGATTTTCTGCATAGATAAATGCTGTCTGAATAAAGGCAGTTCTGTTTCCTCCTTCCCAATCTGAATGCTTTCCCCCCGTTTGCCTTCTTCCACTGGCTGGAAGCTGCCGCATCAGGAGGCGGCTGCACCCCGACCCGCTCCGGGTCCCCCGGGGAAGCGGGTAGCCCCCCAGCGCCGAGGAAGGGCTTAGCTGCGGGTTTTCCGCAGATGCCTTGTCAGCATGAGGAAGGTCCCTTCTTTTCCTGGTTTGCTGAGAGGATTCGGATCTTATCGAATGCTTCTTCTCTGCCTCTATTTTGAGATCACCCGACGTTTTCTCCTTTGAGCTTGTGAAAGTGGTGAACTCCCTCGACTGATTTTCAAATGCTAGACCAAGCTCCATCCCTGAGACAAACCCGGTCGGGTCGTGGCGGGCCGTCCTTTGAATGTGTCGTTGGATTTGACTTGCTAAACTTTGGCTGAGGACTTGTGCACCTGTGTTCACGAGGGACGCGGAATATTGGTCTGGAAGGTCCTTGTCTTGCAACATCCTTGCTTGATTTTTGTGCCAGGGCAGCGCAGCCTCGTAGAATGATCTGGTTACGTGTTCTCTCTGCCTTAGTTTCCTGAGGGAGCTTGTGTACAGCTGGGGTTGCTTCTCCCTTCAGTGTTGGGTAGAATTCTCCCGGGGAGCCTGGTGTTTTCTGGGGTGTTTCCTCCACGCTGCCCTGACATGTCCAGGAAGACACGAGCTCGCTTATTTGTTTGTTTTTAACATAAACTTTAAAATGAAAGTACTACCTACATACGGGTTTCTTTAATGGCGCAGAGCCTCTTGCAATGCCAGAAACTTCCTCCTCTCTTTTCCCCATCCTGAGCCCTGTCCCCAGAGGCAGCCACGGGGAGGGCTCGAGCCCACGGGGGCTTATTTCCAGGTGGCACACTCAATTACTCATTCGACAAACCATTTTTTAATGTTTATTTATTTTTAAAAATTTATTTCTGAGAGAGAGAGAGAACATGAGCAGGGGAGAGGCAGAGAGAGGAAGACGCAGAATCTGAAACAGGCTCCAGGCTCCGAGCTGTCAGCACAGAGCCAGACGCGGAGCTCGAACTCAGGGACCTTGAGATCAAGACCTGAGCCGAAGTTGGACGCCCAACCGACTGAGCCACCCAGGCGCCCCTGCTTATCTATTTTTGAGACAGAGGGAAGGAGTGTGCAAGCAGGGGAGGGGCAGAGAGAGGGGAAGACATAATCTGAAGCAGGCTCCTGGCTCTGAGCTGTCAGCACAGAGCCCGACGTGGGGTTCAAACCCACGAACCGTGAGACCGTGACCTGAGCCGAAGTTGGATGCTTAACAGACTGAGCCACCCAGGCGCCCCTCATTTGACAAGTATTTACTGCAGGCCTACTGCGTGCCAGGCATTGTTCTAGGCCCTTGTCAAGCTTTGTGAACAAGACGAAGATCCCGACCTTCCAGGACTAAGAGATGATGCCGACCTCATCGGGGGACGGACATAATTCCAGCAGGACAGACAGACAGACAACAGCAAACCTCATGAACATGCAAGTTGGAGGTCCCTGAAAATATAAGAAGTGTTTTGGGGAAAACCAGAGCAGGGGAGGAGGGGGAGTCAAGAGTGCGGGGGGGGGGGGGGTGCAGTTGAAAATACACTGGTCAATACACTGGATGGACAGAGCAAAGACTAGAAAGGGGTGAGGGAGCCAGCCATGTGGCTGTCTGAAGGGGCGGGCAGCCAGGTCCCAGGCAGAGGTAACAGCCAGTGCAAAGGCCCTGAGGTGAGAGTGTGGGCAGTGAGCTCAGGAATCGGCAAGGAGGCAGATGGGCTGGCACGGGGGGCACGAGGGGAGGCCGAGAGGAGGGCAGAGAGAGGATGGGGAAGGCCACCCCAGCGCCTCGGCCTTGCAGGCAGCTGTAAGGACTTCGGCTTCTCCCCCGAGTAGAAGGCACTACGGCGTTCGGAGCAGAGTGGCCTGGACTGAGCGGAGTTTCCGCGGAGCACGTGGCCTGCGCGCTGAGGACCCGCTCTGGGCGGGCGAGGAGGCCAGCGCAACACCCCAGGCAGAGGTGCTGGTGGCCTCGGGCAACGGAGGGCTCTGGGTCGACGCCAAAGGCGAAGCCCGCAGGCTGCGCTGGGGGCTGGGGGCGGGGAGCGGAAGACGGAGGGAGTCCCGGACACGCGCAGTGTATTCGGAGCCAGGAGGGAGCAGCCCGCGCGGGGCGGGTGCGGGGCGCTGAGGGCGAGGTCACGGTGCAGGCGGCTGCGGGCCTGGGGCTGCGCGAGGCACAAACCTAGGAGGCGACGCCCAACGAGGAGGAAGTTACTGCCGTCTCGTCTCTGCAGCCCTGTTCAGATGCTACGGGGTCCGCCTGCTGGGGTCGCTGAGGATTAATCCAGTCCCCGCCGCCCCGTGGGCCGCGCCCGCCGCTTCGGGCCCCCGCGGCCCGTGGGACGCCCCACCCCGTCTCCGGAGCCACGGAGGACGCTGTCCCAGCCCGTCTCCAGTTCCTGCCCTGGCCTCAGGCCGCCGCCCCCCAGCCGGCCCGCAGCTCGGCTCCGGGACCCAGTCACCCTGGGGTCTCTAGCGAGGCCTGGCCTCAAGTTGCGGATCAGTAGCGCTTACGCTATTACGACTGTTGATAAACATTCGGGGCGCAGTTGCGTCGCCCAGTGATTCCGGCGCGTGGTTTCCCCGGGTCTCTAACTGGCCTCCCTTCCGGCGGCATTGCCTGCCTGTCACCCACCGGCGCTTCCAACTCGCCGGCAAGCGTCTCCAATGCCTCCGGGTGGGGGAGGAGCGTCCGGTGGGGGAGGAGCG